TGTACTCTATTTTAACTTCATTTTAGACTGTATTTTACTCCAATTTCATCTTAAGTCATATTTTATTCTAGTTCCATTTTAAACTGTATTTTATCAAATTTTATTTTAAATTGCTTTTATTAGACTTTGGTAATGATTTGTTGTTGGAACTTTGCACTTTGATATGGCCCAAGGGCTAATCAATAAAGATTATTATTATAACGAGGACATGTCCCTTAAAAGCAGCTGTTAAAGCATCTTTATGCTACTAGTAAGCAGTACATGAAGATCAGTCCCTATTGAACTACAACTCCCAACATCCTTTTCAACTGCACTAAAAAGAACAAGCTCAACGAAAGGACAACGTTTTCTTGTTCCCATTGCCGGCCAACGAAGCCAAGCTTCTTCTAACCTCGGAAACGATAAATAACCTTCATGAACATCAACCCTTGATCTGAATTTCTGTATTTCCACTTCTTACCAACTTTATCCCTGAATGCACTGGGTGGGCTGTAAGAAACGGTAGCCTCCATGCATTGATGGGATTCAAATAGGTGAACAACCGGTTCTCTGTGTGGATGCCACTTCCGGAAGTCCATTCTGGGCCTGGCCAACAAAAAATGAGCTACCGGTTCTGCCGAAGTGGTGCGAACCGGCTGGATCCCACCACTGCCTCCATGTCAGAAAAAGAGATGACAAAGTGCTTTTTTTAAAAAAAGGAGGCAGAAGGAAGAACATGGTTCAAACACATCTATGGTTTGTCTTCGGCAGGGGTGGGTAAATATGACAACTTTATAACCTGTGGACTTCAACTCCCAGAATTCCTGAGCCAGCATAGGAATTCTGGGAGTTGAAGTCCACAGGTCATAAAGTTGCCATATTGCCTTCCCCTGTAGAAGAGGCTTCATGCATGTAACTTGGATCTTCTTTCATTTGCTCCTGCATACAAAGCTGCTCCTGAAATATCCGTAAATTTTGTTTGTGTGGTGCAGTAAACTGATCTTAGTAGTACTAATAGTACATTGCACCTATATTATATATAAAATGGCAACTCAGCTTGTAAGGCCTTGGAACTTGACCTTACCTTATTTTGTCACCTGAAACATTCACATTCCCACAAATAATTCCATTTCTCCTCTCCCCAAATGAGCCATTATCCATACTGTAATGGCATGTTTTGTCCTAGAACCATAAAAGATTTGGCTACTATTCCCATGCGGTTTCACAGCATTTCATTATTTTGTTTAATAAGTTCATCTGCCTGAGATTTTTTTTCTCATCACCTTATATTATTAAAAGTAATAAGTTTCTCTGGGCTAGGAATTCCCCAACAGAAAAACCAATTTGTGTGTGTCCTTCAGTGATGACAGGGAAAAAAAAAAGATTATTTCCTATTATGCCAAATACTTTCTATATTGCTGCAACAGCTTATCATTCAATAAACGTTAGTCTACAGCCCACTTCCATCCCTGGGAGAAGTTTAATTTCTACATTAACCTGTTTTTACTCGCCAATGCCTTAGGAGAAAAGCATCTGTGTGGGAGCCGAATTGGTTTGTTAAAGAAAGCATTTAGACATCTCTTGTCAATGATAAAATTATCTTTGTCTAATAAAAGGATATAAACTCCGTTTACAACTATTTCTCATTATTATTGTTTCCAGAGTGAGCACATGCACTGGATTCTTTTGGTTAATAGAACTTTAAATTTCTACCCAATGAATCCTTTTTTTAAGTGAATGAGAAATGGAATCATTACAAAGGTGTTTTTTCAAGAGGCAACTGGACTTCCTTTGTTTTTGCTTGAAGATGTTTCGTTTCTTATCCATTCTTATACATATGTTGTTCATAGTATGTTTAGGTGTGTGTCATGTATGTATTTTACTTTGAGAGCGGGCAATTAAATTTCATTTTTGATGTGTGCCATTGTGCCCACAGTATAAAAATGACAATAAAGGTTATCTTATCTTATCCAAGTAGCTTCTTCAGTTCTCCAAGATCCTGTCCTGTTCTGTTCTGTTCTGTTCTGTTCTATTCTATTCTATTCTATTCTATTCTATTCCTATTCTTATTCTACTCTACCCTATCCTATCCTATCCATATGTCCTATATTTCTGTATATTTTTACTATCTATCTATCTATCTATCTATCTATCTATCTATCTATCTATCTATCTATCTATCTATCTATCTATCTATCTATCTATCTATCTATCTATCTATCTATCTATCTACAGTATCTATCTATCTATCTATCTATCTATCTATCTATCTATCTATCTATCTATCTATCTATCTATCTATCTATCTATCTATCTTCTATCTCTATTTATCTGTCTATTCTAATGTCATTGTAACTTCGAATAGTCACTAACAATTGGCTGTAAGTCGAGGACTATCCATATGAAGTAATTCATAACTGCATCACTCTGCCACAGCTCAAAGGATAAAGAACAACTGCCCCATGAACATAGGTATCTACAAAAGAGTGGGGGGAATTATGTGCACAGTGTGATGTCATTTATGCAGTGACCTGCCACACAAGACATTTTGAGATAATTGTGTCTTGTAATGGATGCCACTGAGTATGGTCCTCAGGTGTCATTTGTTCACATATCCAATAGGCAATCTAAGTGATTTTTTTTAAGGCCAACTAGGCCAAAATTGTAAAAGCTTTCTCAATGGATTCTGGATGAAAAATGCATGAACAAAATGAATGAAAAATGGCCGTGTGTCTAGCTTCACTTCTTTGATCGGGAAATATGTATCTTTGTAAGTGATTAATCCTTCAAAACTGTCATGTTTATCGTGCGTGGTTTCCCCAATGGTGGGGATTTTTTGTTTTATTTTTCTTGGAAACAGTCAATTTTGAGGCCAAAGATTCTAGGAAGAGAAATGATTAAGATCTTCCGTTGAATCATTTATGTCATGGGGTCAGGTATTTTATCCTGAAATGCATTGTTGCTGAGATGTGGAGAACTACGTGAAGTCCTAACAGAGATATCATGAGTGCACGAGGTTGGCTTAAAGGTAGCTAGTGTGAAACAACTTCCATTGTAATTTTGCTCAGGAGTGACCACATTTGTGTAATTTAGGGGGAGAAGGACAATCCACAGGTATCTATTGATGAAAAGTTACCATCATCACAAGGTCCAGCAAAAAGCTGGTAGTCAGCATCTACAGCAGTGTTTCTCAACCTTGACAATTTTAAGGCATGTGGACTTCAACTCCCAGAATTCCACAGCCAGCAATGCTGGCTGTGGAATTCTGGGAGTTGAAGTCCACATGCCTTAAAATTGTCAAGGTTGAGAAACACTGATCTACAGCATCCTAGACCACTCATATCTCTTCCTTGCTTTCACAGCCTGTTTGACTGGCCTCTTTAAGAAAACTATGTTACATGTATGTAGAAAAGGAGTCCTTCTCTTCTATGACATGAGACCATAAGGAGCTTTCCAGCACTCCAAGAAATACTAGCAAACTTCAGCAAGAAAATGGCTGACTTTCAATGGCCTACAGGTAGTCCTCGACTTACAACTGTTTGTTTAGTGACCGTTCAAAGTTACACTGCACTGAAAAAAAGTGATTGATGACCATTTTTCACACTTATGACCACTGCAGTATCCCCGTGACCATGCGGATGCTGCAACAGTCGTAAGTGTGAAAACCCGTCATAAAGTCACTTTTTCAGTGCCGTTTTAACTTTGAATGGTCAAATGAAGACTAAACGAACGGTTGTAAGTTGAGGGTTACCTGTGTGCACATGGGAAAAACATGGGAAAGATATATGCAACACAGAAAAATAATTTTTTTCCAAGGTGTTCTATTTTATTTTGTCTTCCCACCATTGTCTTCCAGCCTAAGATACGCATTCTGGGAATAAAATGCAGGAGGGAGAACAACACATCCCTAGAAGAGGGGAAGGATAAAAGTCTTATAAACAAAAATCTTATTAAAAAGTCTGATTCAAAACCTTAAATGTTTCACTTTTTTTTTTCTTTTTGAGCAAACTGTTTTCAAAACGATGAGCGATTGATTATGTTACCTTATAGCCAGTTTTCCAGTAGTAGTCTCTAATAGCTCTCACCATGACCAGGCCCACTGGGAAAATAGCATTAACCGCCTCTTTTCCTGTAGATGTCTTGATAAAATCAGAACCTTGGAAAAAAAAGGAGGACGAAACTTTATGTCAGCAAAATATAGTATCAGAACTCCTGGATTTAAGGTTCGTTTTCAACACTGATTCCCCTCTCTTTGAAAAGGCAGGAAATAACGGAATTTGAAATAAACGTGGTGACGGAAAATCGCTTCGGTTCAGAACTGCCAGCCAAAAAACTTTCTCCACTCCGTTTTGATTTCCTTTTCAAAAGTCAGCATTTATTTATTTATTTTCTACAGCAGTGGTTCTCAACCTTTTTAATGCTGCGACCCCCAACCGGTCGTAAGTCGAGGACTAAACCGGTCGTACGTCAAGGACTACCCAACCGGTCGTAAGTCGAGGACTTTCCCTGCCCGGGAGCGCCGCGCATGCGTGGTTCCACCCCCTGCGCCGGCCGAGGTGTAGCTGGCAAGCGGCAGAAACGGAGCAGGCCGACCACCAGCTGGCCCAGCTCAAGGGAGGTAAGGCACCCGCCAGAAAAGGGGGAAAAATGGCGGACAGCCTTGCTTGGTGACCCCCTTGAAATGGTCGATCGACCCCAAATGGGGTCGCGACCCATAGGTTGAGAACCGCTGTTCTACAACCACCTGTCTCAGACAAGGGACTCTGGGTGATTAATAACAGAATAACAGAGTTGAAAGGGATCTGGGAGGTTTTCTAGTCCAACCCTCTGCTGAAGCAGGAGACCCTATATCATTTCAGACAGACTGGCTGTCCAATCTCTTCCTAACCCCCCCCCCCCCCCCGGTGTTGGAGCACTCACAACTTCTGAAGTCAAGACGTTCCACTGATTAATTGTTCTCGCTGTCAGGAAATTTCTCTTTCGTTCTAGGTTGCTTTTCTCCTTGATTAGTTTCCATCCATTGGAAATCAAAACAAAGCACCTTTCAGGTGTTTTGGAGAATAGGTTGACGCCTATTTTCTATTCTTCTTTGTGGCAGCACTCTAGATATTGGAACACTGCTATCATGTCAACCCTACTCCTTCACTTTATTAAACTACACATACCCAAATCCGGCAAATGTTCCTTATATGTTTTAGCCTCCAGTCCCCTAATCCAGGGCTTTTCAACCAGTGGTACGGGTACCACCTGTGGTACATTGGCACCTGGCAGGTGGTACGCGACCATCCTAGAAAAGTGGTAGCGGGGGAGGGGAATGAGCTGAACCAGTGGCAGCACCACACAAGCCTGAGCGAGAGATGGCTGGAGCTGCAGGGCTGTCAGGGCTCAGTGGAAGCGCCAGGGTCAGCGCCAGGCTCCAGCTGCAGCTCGGCGGTGATCTTGGCGCTTCCGCTGAGCCCAGAAGCGCCGATCAGCTGGAATGTTGCAGCCTCTCCAGGGTCTTGTGATTTACATTCAGATGCTTGGCAACTGATTCATATTTATGATGGTCACAGTGTCCCAGGGTCATGTGAAGTGACCAAAACCTGCTGCAACCACCCAGCAGATGGGGGGAATAAAAACCAAACACCCCCCCACCCCACCCCTGCTGCCAATCCTCAACAGAAATGCTCACAACAATGAAAACCTCGGACAGGAGGAAGAGCGCCACCGGGCGGGCAGGCAGGCAGGTGTCTTGCTCAGCTGTGGCTTGGGGGGCACTTTTTTCAGTGCCATTGTAACTTCGAACAGTCACTAAGCGAACTGTTGTAAGTCGAGGACTACCTTTAAATTAAGGTGACCAACCGTCCTCCTTTAGGGAGGACAGTCCTCCTTTTGTAAGTTCTGTCCTCCCTCAAAAAGTGTCCTCCTTTTCGATATTTGAAGACTAATCTGCAGGGCTTTTTTTCCCCTCATAGAACGCTCAGAACGGCGTTCCGGCATCTTTTTTTGATGGTTTTTTTTTTCAACTTTTGCATGAGCTGTTCTACTCCCACTATTGGCTTTCGAAAGCCAATAGGAATTGCTGCTGAGCGCGCCAAAACACCCGGCTGGCAAACTTTGCACATGCAAGTTGTTTGTGTTATTGATGCAATGAATAAAATGTTTCTTTTATTTACGATATTTTTTTCTTCAATTTATTTGTGTCCTCCTTTTCATTGTAAAAAAGTTGGTCACCTTATTTAAATACCTGAAATGGACTATGGCCATGGACACCCAAAACTTAACTCAAGATTTAAATCATAACATTTTTTCAAGCCTTTGCAGATCTCCTGCGATAACATTACCCCCCCCCCCCATTGGCCTGCGGACCACAGTTTGAGAACCAGTGCTACAGACAACCATGTTAGAGTCAATCCCACTATTTTGTAAACCGGTAAGACCTTCCATATCATTGACATTTGAAATACCTATTTTGCATGGTTATGCCAGAGATTTTTAGGTATACAAAACATGTCCTCCACCTCTTCACTAATGTTGGCTGCCCTACAGAGCTTTTCTTAACATGGATGAAATAAGAAATTTTCCTCTTTAGAAAAGAAAAGCAAACTTCTTTGCATCTACTCATATGTTTTCCCTCCCCTCATTAAAAAAAAAAATTGCAGAGTTTAAGCCCTTTTGTTAAAGTCTTCCACCCCTATCTCCCACTTCCTCCTATCGGAGTAAGGTAAGTCAAAGCTTTTATAAGTCTGATCATTAGAAATCTCAATGGTATGGTTTCATTAAAAACTTTCATTAAACAACATCTGCCCTTGTATAGGGCCTCATAATCAATTTGGTCAAACAGAAGGGCTTCTAATCGGCTGTTGATAAAAATAGAAGATGAAATTTTAATTCTAATAGATTAACCACAAACTCAAGATAGTCTTCAAAATCCATCTCGCTGTATTCTCCAGTGGATTTAACGACTATTCAGCAACTCATTACTAAATAGAACAAGATGAACATTTTCCAGTTCATTAAAGAAATGTACTATGTATTTTTGCATTGTCCTCATGATTCGTTACAAGGAGTCTTAATTACAAGATAATGGATAAAGGTTATTAAATGCAGGCTCCAGTAATGAAGCTCTATTCATTTGCAAGCCTCGGAGACTGCAAAGAGGGGAAAATAAAATTACTAGCTTCGAAAGATTAACGGATCAAATTATTATTCAATTTTGAAAATCTCATTCAGACTTTGCAGAAACAAGAAAGGATTTTTTTTTTAAATAGTAGTATTAGGATTATAGTGAAACACTTATTTTTAAAAATAAAATAATATCTTAAGGCTATTAGCAGAATAATCGGCTTCGGATGTGATTATCAAAATACAGCCAATTTAGCAGCATCTTCTAACAATGAAAACAATGCTCTATTTTATTTTATGGAACAAATTCTATTTATGATTCAAGTGAGAGTTTCCTAGCAGAATACCGTAAAGAACTCAGAAGATGGATGCTGGCACGGAGCTTTACAATATAAAGGTACTATTAACATTTTATATTTCTCTAATGAAAACGGAGAGGGAGAGAAAAGGAAGCTTTGCTGTTAAAATGGAGGCTCTTAAACATATTTCATATTAGCTTTATAAATAAGGTGTTTCTAGCTATATAATTCACCTGTCAATGTTTTTTTTTCCTTTTTTTCCTCAGATTGGTAAGAGAAAAAAAAAGAACAAAGTTTAGGCAAAGAAGAAAGGGTCAAAGTTTGATTTCCTTGTGGGAAGCCATTGTGATTAGCAGCAACATAAATTCTATGTATCAAGAGCAAAAGTGAAGACTGGGAACATCAAATGAAACCCAACCTGTCAAGGCACATAATAAGGTGGTATTTTGAGAACAAAAACTCTGCATCACGCAAAGGAGGACAAAAGAAGCCAGATTTACCTTAAAAGTACACATATTAACATATTTGTACAGAAGCATGTTGGAAAATAAACTCCATAACTGAATCCGAAATATAATGCATCTCATCATACTGAAAAGACTGGGGGGGGTGGTGGTGGTAATGAGCATGCTATGCCAAAACATAGTTTGGTTTAGTTTACTGTGTTACACAAACCTAGCCAGTTTTAAACAGGGTTTATGGTTTAGCACAGGGGTAGGCAACCTTGGCTCTTTTATGACTCGTGGACTTCAGCTCCCAGAATTCCTGGGCCAGCCATGCTGAGGGGAAAGGGAGAGGTTTCCGTGCTGAGCCATGCTGGCTCAGGAATTCTGGGAGTTGAAGTCCACAAGTCATAAAAGAGCCAAGGTTGCCTACCCCTAGTTTAGCATGTTGTACAAATCCAGGCAATTGTAATTCATTCAATAAGCAAGGGTTAAATAAACCATAGCTCAGAGAGTGTGCCAACCTGGCCCTTGAAACTAGGTGCTTGTCTGCTAGCCAGGTGCTAAATATGGATAGGCAACTTCAAGATGTTTTACTTTTTTTTTTTAACAGATCTTTATCTTTATTGCGAACTCGAGGGTAGAAAAACTTTCAGATGGAAAGCTATCCTTTCAAAAAGCAAGAATACCTAGGCATGTAATCGAAGAAGCCTCAATAATTAAATCTAGAGCCCCAACCTAAGAAAAAGTCACAAGTTCTTTCTAGTTATGAATTTGCAAATCAGAAATGTCTTCAACAGATCAAAAATGGTATCTTGTATGGAAAGCTACTCTCCAAGTCTTCTGTCCAACATTCTCATTTCAGTGGACAGGATTTTTTAAAAACTTGGCAGGCTTTCTATATGACTTTTTCCAGGCTTACTGCAAGCTACCGTATTGCAGCTGATTGCAGGAGAGTTGCACTATTCATTTATGGAAGCCAGATTCAGTTGATTTAGTGGATTCACCAAACTCTTGTCTTGAGTTCATAGGTCAAGCTTTAGAGCTTCAAATATCTTCCCAAAGTCTTCCTTAAACTACCCTGTGGCTGCAATCTGGCCTAGATATAATTGAGGCCAGAACTCAGTCAAGGAGATTCTGTTTCAAAAGTCCATTTGAAGTCAGGTCAACAGGCCATTTTTAACTTCCATGGCTTTGAAAGATTTGGGTTTACAAGTGTATCAGAAATTAATTCTACCACATGTAATGAGAATATTTATTCATTCAGAATAACAGAGATGGAAAGGGACCTTGGAGGACTTCTAGTC